TGATATATGGTTCACTCTCTATTACTTAAGAGTGTAGGTTATTATTAGAGTTGGTAAGTAGGAATTAAAACAGGGGTAAAGCTAGGGGCCCTCAGAGGTTAGGTAGGGAAGGTGAATGAGGGAGGTTGGGTGGGGATTGAGAGAGCAGGAGAGTACATACCTCATCAAAAGCATCAACAATTTGTAAAACTCTTAATGTGCATTCAGAGTAAAAACAGTTCTGAGGTCTGGTGGGTTGCGGTCTCGTAAAAATGACAGAATTTGCCATCTCTAAATTAACCCAGCTTTCTGTTCTCCCTCCTCCTTTTATCAGGAGATATAGGGGTAGTTCATTCATCAAAATGAGGCAGGTGAGTTCTTGACACGTGAGAGCGATGGGAGCACTGTATCCATTGCCTCCAGAATTTGCCTGGGTTGCCACTGCTTTGTGACTTGTGAAAAAAGGGGCCCATCGTTTTTTCTCTTCTTGTTCCTTCTGTTATCTGGAGCAGGATTTGTGGCAGATTTTCTGAGATTCCTGTGAGTCAGAGAAGCATATTCTGACAATAGACCCATGAAACTGGGCTCTTTTTTTTTTTTTTTTAAAGATGATTTAGAGGGTACAATTGTCATTTATAAGGGTGATTTAAAGTGTAATTTCTTTTACTTTGAAGTTGGCTGGGCAACTTCACTTTAACACCTTAGGGTGCCTTCTGGACTTGGTAGCTTTCTTGAAATCCACCCTCCCCCGATTACTTAAAAGAGGAAGAGGAAGGGTTTTATGTTGGGAGCTGAAGTTGGGTCTGGGTCCTCTGCTTCAGCCCTCAGGAAGCTGGGGCTGGCCCTGTGGCTTTTCCCCTGCTGTTCTGCAATACGGGCTCCTAGGCGCCATCTCAAGCACTGGAAACTTCCCTTACGCACTTTGGAGGAGCAGGTTCAGACTGAGACCAGCCTCACTCTTAAGCATATATGGAGAATGCAGAGTAGGGACCCTAAAAAGCCTTTTTTCCTCCCAAAGTCTTCCTCAACTCACTCTTTCTTGGAATCCCAGCAATAAAACTGCATCCTCATAACCTAACTTGAGAACCTTTCAAGTACAGGAGATAAAATGGTACGTAAAGCATGGCTCCTGTTCTACCAGCTCACAGTTTGTTATGAGACTTTTAATGGCTTTGGAGAAGACACTGTTTTAAGGTATATTCATCCACACAAACCTTGGAAGATAGGAACTGGCTTTGACTTACAGAGTTGATGATACTTGGGGTGAGGGAAGAAGGGAAAGCTGCCCAAGAAGCCATTCTAATAAGTAGAAAATACTTTGGTCACGTTTTGTTAAAATGAGTGTTTAAAAATATTTGAAAGGGAAATACATTCATATGGTTAAAAAATGTTAAAAGTATGTATGAAAGTCTCCCTACCCTTGTTCTCCAACCAATTCTTGCCATTTCAGTTTCTTTATGTAAATATAAGAGAATGTGAGTATATATTTTTGTTTACTTGTCCCTCCCCTTTTATACAATGGTAGCATACTCCATACATTATTATATATACCTTTCTTTTATTACTTAATATCTTTTGGAGATTTTTCTATGTGACTACTTACAGAGCTTCCCCATTCTTTTCTATGTATTCTACTACTTATGGCTGCACCATGGTTTAATTAGCAAGCTCCCCCTTGATGGACCTTGAGGTGTTTGTTCATATTTTACTATTATAATAACTGCTGCAATGAATAATCTTAGATATATTTTACATCATTTAACACATGTGCTAATGTACATGTAAATTCCTAGGAGTGAAATTACTCTATCAAAGGCTTTATGCATTTGTAATTTTGATATCCATGCCAAGTTGCCCTCTATGGAGGTGGTAATGACTTACACACGAATCAGCAATGCCTGTTTCCTCATAGTTCCACCTACGGAGTTTTTATCATACTTTTGGACTTTTACCAATTTGGTAGGTGAAAAATGGGCTAGCAGTAAAGTTTTAATTTCTGTTTTTCTTATGATGAATGAGGTTGTGCATCTTTTTTTGTAGCTGAGGCATTGGTATTTCCTTTTCTGTGAAATGCCCTTTCAGATCCTTTGTCTCTCTGTCTTTGGCTGATGTTTAACTTGCCAATTTCTAGGAGCTCTTTATATAATAGGACACTTACCCTTTGTGATTTGAGCTGCAAATATTTTTCCCAGGTTTTGTGTGGGTTTTTTTTGCCTTAGAGAATCTTGGTTTTTATATTGTCGAATTTATGATTGTTTCCTTTATGACTTCTGCATTATCCTGGCCCCCTATTGATGGCACAAAATTGTTCCTCTTTCCATGGTGCGTCCTCACTCTTTTCCTACTTCAGTCTTGGATTTACAGCAAAAGCTTTTGGTATCTTCCCTCCCAGATCTGCTTCTGGGACTGTGTTCTTTGTCAGTGGTAGGGTAGCCCTTGATAATTATGTTATGAAATTTCAGTGGTCTGAAAAAAAACACCATCTCGATTAGAGGCACTCTAGAAACCTAGCAGTTTCTTATAAAACTAAACATGCAGTTACCATATGATTCAGAAATTGCTCTCTTGAGCATTTATACCAGAGATACAAAAACTTATGTTTACACATAAACCTGCACACGACTGTTCACAGAAGTTTTGTAACAGCCCTAAACTGGAAACACTTAAATGTCCTTCAGTAGGTGAATGGTTGAACAGACTCTGGTACATACATGCTATGGAATACTCCTCAGAAATAAAAAGGCACCAACTGTTGACAATATGCAACAACTTAGGTAAATCTCTAATGTATTTTGTTTGGTGGAAAAAGTCAGTCCCCACAGGTTGCATATTGTATTATTCCACTTATAAAACATTTTTCAAGTGACAAATGGTGCACAGGTTAGTGTTTGCTAGGGGTTAAGGATGCTCCCTCGCAAGGATGAGAGGGGGATGTGGTTATAAGCAGCAGCACATGGAAGCCTTGTGCGGCGGGATGGCTCAGTGTGTGACGGTGATGGAGGACACAGGACCCTACACATAGAATTACATACACTGGTGCGCAAACTTGTGTGCGTGCACACACACACACACACACACACACACACACAAGTGAATGTAAGTAAAATGGGGACATCTGAGTAAGATCCGTGAACTGTATCAATGTCGATATCCTGGTTGTGATATTGCAGCGTAGTTTTGCAAGATGTTACCTTTGGGGGAAACTGGGTAAAGAGATACACAAGATCCTGTACACAGGATCTCAATAAAAATTTCAGTTAAAAAATAAATCCCCATTTCTGCAAATACCAGCTGCACCGAAAGCTGCAGGTCGCTGGAGTAACGGGGCTCTTTGTTTAGGATCAGCAGCAAAACAGCCGAGGGACCCAGTGCTGGCAGTGGAATGGGGGAGCGAGGCAGTGCCTCGGGTTCAACCCTGTGCTCTGCTCTGTGAGGCCAGATGAAGATCTGAGAGCAGTGACTGGTACTTCCAAGGATTCTCTGGGGCTGCCCAGCTGGGTAGCTCATTTCACAGCCTGTCTGGGGGAGAAAAGTACCCTGGCTTAGGCTCCAATACCTCAGAACCAGCAAGGGCTTGACATTGGTGGGCAGGGACAGGAATGGGGAAGGGTTCCTAAGATGACTTTTGATGTGGGTAGGTCCCCCCATCATGCCCAGTGTGTGCCCCTTTGTCATGTTTACTTTGGTGTTCCTCCTGCTGCATCACTAGTATGGTGGTGGGGAACCCGTGAGGGCCCCAGGACCCTGCTTGGGATTCTCTCAGGTCAAAACCGTTTTCACAATAATACTTAGACATTTGCTCATTACTCCCATTCTCTTACAAGTGTACAATAGAGTTTTTCAGAGGTTCCATGATGTGAAAGAGTGACAGATTAAACATAGCAGTGGATACGAAACTCCAGCTGTTTTCTATTAAGCCAGACATGAAAAAGACTTAGACAAATGTAAACAAGTGCCACTCTTCTGACTTTTTTGTTTTGGAAAATATAATTCTTTTTTCTTAAAATATGTTATTTGTTAACATTTAATGGTGTTATTGTTATTTTTAAATGATTTAATAAATATTTAAGAATTTTCTCTGTTTAATTTTTAATGGGTGAATATTTTTATAAACTACATAAGCCAAAGCTCTTTGAGGTCCTCAGTAATGTTTGAGAAGGTAAAGGAGCCCTAACCCCCCAAAAGGTATGAACCTTTGGGTTGGCAGAATGCACTTGGCCAAAAGTTGGGGGACTTGTGTTACAGTCAGGACTTTGCTGTGTGACCATGGGCAAGTCATTTAGCCTCTTGATTTCTTCTGTAAATGCTAATAACTATCCTGTTCTATATACCTTAAAGAAAAGTGAGATAAGTCTGTAGGAAAGGCTTTCAAAATAGAATGTCCTATGCAAATGTAAGGGAACTTAATAGTTAGACAACTAAACTTCTGTTGGAAGAAAATGTGACTAGTGAGATTTATGGTGTGTCAGCTGATACTCTGTTCGCTTTTTAAACTTTTCATGTTTGCATCTCCTCCTAACAGTTTCCTTATACATTTTTTCTTTTTCGCAGTTTCTCAGACAACCATTTTGATTATTAAAAGGAGTTAAGTAAATACATCTTCTAAAGTTTTCAATCAAGAAGTAATTTATATCCCTGATACTTGGAGTAGTATCATAAGGTCAGGAGTTCTATCTTGGAGAAGCCACTTACTAGCTATGTGACTTTAGGGAAGTTACTTAACTTCTCTGTGTCTTGGATTCCTTATCTGTAAAATGGGGCTAATAATACCTTACTTTCCATGGTGATTATGAGCATATAATAATGCACAGAAAACACTTTGCCAGTGCTTGGCACGTAATAGATGCCTCATAAATGATAGTTGCTATGATTGTTATTAGCATATAACAAAAGATGCAAGATTAAATCTAGGTCTCTTATCCAGTCTTTAGTAAACTTATTAAGCTACTTTATTCATAAGTTTCCTGATAGTGATTGCCATTTCATTTGATTTCATTTTTTTTTTCTTTTCTGCTTTGAAGGGCTGTTGAGTGGCCAGACTTCCCCAACAAATACCAAATTGGAGAAACTGGATTCTCAGCAGGTGTTGCAGCTCTGCCTCCGATATCAGGATCACCTCCATCAGTGTGCAGAGGCCGTTGCTTTTGATCAGAATGCTTTGGTTAAACGAATCAAAGAGGTAAGTACTGTGTGAAAATAACATTGCTGACTTATTAGTGTGAGTCTCTGAGTCCTCTACTGGGCAGTAGAGCCAGTGATTGCAGTTTTATGGAAAGCAGTCATTTTTCCATATAATTTTCTACATTTGTCCTTGTTGCTTTGGGGGATTGTCTTTCTTAGCAGTAAAATGTGATGGTGAAAAGAGTGGTTCATGGAGCTAGACCAATTTGGAGTTTGAATCCTGGTGACACTTGTTTGCTTGGGCAAGTTACTTACCTCCTCTTGGTCTCAGTTTTCTCATTTGAAAAATGGGGCTAATAAGTAGTAACCTACCCTGAGGGTTTCATGAAGATTAAATTGCTCAGTTAAGTGTTAGCTCTTTTTTTTTAATTTAAATTTTATTTTTCAATTACAGTTTACATTCAGTATTATTTTGTATCATTTTTAGGTGTACAGCTTAGTGGATAGCCAATAATATACTTTATATAGAGTTCCCCCTGATAGTTCCAGTACCCACCTGGCACCATAGTTATTACAATATTACTGACTATATTCCCTGTACTGTACTTTACATCTACTAATCTGTACTTCTTAATCTCTTCACCCTTTTCACCCATTCCCCCAACTCCCCTCCCCTCTGGCAACCACCAGTCTGTTCTCTGTATCTATGAGCCAGTTTCTATTTTGTTTGTTCATTTATTTTATTCTTTAGATTCCATGTATAAGTGAAATCATATGGTATTTGTATTTCTCCAACTGACTTATTTCAAGTAAGTGTTAGCTCTTATTAGTGTGTGTAAAGCCCTGCCATACTAATTTGCTCTGGTTAATATTACACCTTCAAACTGACTTTAGCTGGTTCCTATATGTAATTTGTATTTTATTTTCAAGTAGGGTATCAGTTCTTTGAGAGCAGGAGTCTTGACATCTCCCTAAAAATTATATTTTTCACTGTGTTAGCACATGAAAAACTCAGTGATTCTTATTGGTTGGTTGGAAACATTATGCCTATTTAACCCACAAGGTTTTGTAAGGAAAGAAACAAAATAATTTATGTGAAAGTACCTAGTAAACTAAGGAGCGTGGTAGGGTGTTGAGTAATTGTTAATAACAGTAAGTAGGTACTTCTTTGAAGCACTGAAATATATCATTGACCGGGCCACTGCATGGCACAGCTCTGGGAGTACCAAGGTGCAAGTAAATACATTTCCAATGTTTTCACTCAAGAAGGGCTTTATATTCCTGATACCTTGAAGTAGTGTCATATAAAGAAAAGATCAGGAGCTCTATCTCGGAGAAACCGCTTATGTGAATGGCACCCTCTGGAGTTGTTTAACAGAATAGTTCTGGCCAATGACTCAGGCCTCAACCTTTCCTTGTGAGGCAACACACAAGGAAAGGTTGAGAATCACTGCAAATTCATTATCAGTAATGGACGCAGTACATCCTTGAAATTATAAAGTAGTCATCAGTTATATTGATAGATTTAAATTTGCTACCACCTGCAGCATATTAGAACATATCTTTCACAAACTGTTTTATGTATATAAGCTTCTCTCATGGAAGTCTTTTATTTGGAAGACTATTAAATATAACCTTTCATATTTGTTGGCATTGGTGTGTCCTTTCAAATGGTATAATATGTTTTACTACATTATGATCTGCATCGCTTTAAGTCCCACACATGATTATGTATTAGAATCACTTGGGTTTTTGTTTGTTTTAATATTGAGTCCTCCTGTCCCTGCAATAGTCTAGGTTATGATTTGTGAATCATTATTTTTATTTCTTTATTTGTTTTTATTGATTTCAGAAAGAGGAAGGGAGAGGGAAAGAGAGATAGAAACATCAATAATGAGAGAGTCATTGATCGGCTGCCTCCTGCACACTCCCCTTTACTGGGGATCCAGCGCACAACCCGGGCATGGGCCCTGATGGGGAATTGACCCATAACCTCCAGGTTCATAGGTCGGTGCTCAACCACTGAGCAATGCCAGCTGGGTGTGAATCATTATTTTAATAAGTTTACCAAATGATTCTGAAGCCATTCTCCATTACCTGGGATTTGAAACAACTGATCTACAGAACTATTTTCTAAAATAAGTTCTGTGAAACTAGTCCATGTAGGGAAGACAAAACTTTCTGCATATTCCATTATCACCTTGGAAAGCCTCAATGCACATGATCGTGTTAAAGGTTCTTAGGAATCTTACAGTAAAGAAAACCAGCACTTTTCAACTTTTTGACCTCAGAACCCTTATATCAGGTAACATCTATTAACATCTTACAGAAGTAGCATTTTTAAAGAAACCTCTTGGGAAATGTTCTTGTAGACATAAGTAAGACTTTACCATTTTTTACTATTATTCTAGAAACTACAACATTAACTTTCAGAGAGAAGATTTTAGAAAAAATCAACTTTTAATGCTTCTTGTCTTGTTTTTGAAAGGTCCTCTAATCCATGTCTGTTGTTTTGTAGTTTAGGACAGTGTAGGACAGAAAGGTTGACTAGCTCATTTTTAAAGAGCGAGGTGAGGTATTTTGCAGCTGGAGGTATAAGACAGAGCTCCTCATTATATGTTTTCAAGACTCAAAGCAGTGTTTCTTGGCCCCGAGGATGTGTCAGGATCACCGGGGAATTTTCCTTCAGTCTATATGATGGAAAGTTTTACACACACACTGAAGTATTGACAAATACTGTGGACCTTCATGTACTCAGTGCCCACCTACTGCAGACATCAGCATGTCAACACTCCTGTTTCATCCATACCTCCATCCACTCCCTGTCACCTCCTCGACTGGTCTATTTTGCAGTAAATCTCAAGCATATTCTTTCATTCATAAATATTTATTCATTCATAAATATTTATGTACCTTTAAAAGTGAAGGACTCTTTTTTTGAAAGTTTTAAATCTGAATGAAACTTAGACTTGGAAAAGAGTCACAACAATAATTAAGAGAGTTCCTGTATACCCCTCACACAGCTTCCTCTAAAGTGAGCATCTCACAGAATCCTGAGTACAGTGATCAAAGCAGGAAATTCACACTGCTACAATACTGTTAACTACATGAAGACCTTATTTGAATTTCACCAGTTTTTCCACCAATGAAGAACTCCTTTTCGAAAACAAGCCACAATGCTGTTATCATACCTAAAATATTTAACAATAATACCTTAATTCATTCAGTATAGCTGAGCTGCTTTTAAGAAAGTACTGATGTATAAGTCTCACTCTAAAGCAGTTAGATTGAAATCTTTGAAGCGTGGTGGGTGGGGAAGGGAGGAAACCGAGCCCTGGTATTTATGAAAGTGCTCTAGGGACCCTGGCCCGGTGGCTCACCCCTGATACACCTAGGTTGTGGGTTCTATCTCTGGTCAGGGCACATAGATGAAGCAACCAATGAATGCATAAATAAGTGGAACAACAAATTGATGTTTCTCTCTCTCTCTCAAAATAAAAAAAATCAATAATTTTTTAAAAAAGAAAGTGCTCTAGAACCCGTAACGTTGAGAACCAGTGTTCTGGAGCATTCATGTAAAACAAGCTGAGTTAATTCTGTTTGAGGAACTTTGGGGTTCACGTTGAGTCATCAGGAGTTACCCAGGATTGCTGGAAAAGCTGGAACAGTATTCACAGTACTGCGCAGCACCTCCGTAGTTCTCCTGGGGTGGAAGGAGTGAGCACTGTTTCAGGGCTTTCCTTGGTGACTTGTCATCTCTGTTGGAAAGTGCTGGCAAACCCCTGAAACACACATCCATCTGTACTCAATTCAAACCTAAGGGTTGAAATTAGTCATTTCCAAATGAGTAAAGCTGAGGATGTAGTTTTGATCAAACTCCAACTCTCTTGATATTATTCCAGATGTTTCCTGGAAATTTGGTTGCCAGAGTGAGGAAGTAACATAATGCTATATGTGTTCAGAAGTAAGGGAACTTAATAAGCATGGAGAATATGTATTAGTGGAAGTGTGGAACCCAGATCACCCAGAGGCCTATAAAGTTACAGGGCTTGGGATCACTTAAGTTCGGGTCAAAGGGAAACATGACTATAACTGTGTCTGATTCAGATAAAAGGAAATCAAGGACTTAGCTAAGCTTTCCTGTTGCTAAGTTTGGTTGATGCTCTTGAATGACAAGTTTATGTTTATAAATGTGTGTATGAGAGAGAAGTGGAAGATAGAGGGGGTCTTCCTTCACAGCCAGGGGATCTTGTAATGTATGCGGACCACTAGTTTCCTTAATGGCTGCAGGGTGGCCCCTCAGTTGGCCAGCTCAGTCTGAGCAGCTATTGTAGATTTACTTGGTGTGAGGTCCTTTAGGGGTTACAGAGAAATGCAACATAGTCCTTGCTCATTGAGAGCTGTCTAGCTGAGGGAACGAAGAGACACAGACTGTAATATAGAAGATAAGGCACTGTCATAATAAAGGAAAGGAGAGTGAAAGATAAGGAGAGTGCTCGATTATGGAGTATGGTTGAAGTTCTCTAAGAGTTAAAGATCAGGCTCCTGGAGCAGGTGAGGTTTCAGCTAGGTCTTAACCAGGATTCAGGAAACAAATGGAAAGAAAGAGCAGAGCATTGCTGGAGGGAGGAACAGCTTGACAGCCTTAGAAGAAAATTAACTTTGGGGCTTCAGGGGACTGTAAAGAAACTAAACTTGGTCCAAGAAATCTTCTCTACATTAAGAACCACAGAACGTTGGAGTTGGAAGGACCTTAGAGACCAGTGCGGTCATTATTTAGATGCAGAAATCGAAGCCTTGTAGAGAAAGTGAGCAGTTTATCCAGGGTCACAGAGTGAGAGAGCTGCCAAAGTTACGGAATTAAAAGTGGATGAAGATTGAGGGAGGGTGGTTTTTGTTAGTTTCTTTGTTTTTTGGCAGGTGGTATGCTTGAACGTGCTTACAGATTTCGGGAGAAGAGATGGAAGAGGTCAAAGATGAAGGGTAAGGGGGATTCAGAGAGCAAGACCCCTGTGGGGACAAGAGAGGGCAGGATTAGAGCCATGGGCTACTTATTTT